AAAAATGAGCACCATTTGAGCACACATTTAGTCAAGCAGCAATAGCTAAAAACTATAGGGAATTTTGCCTGCGCTTTGTATACCAGCAATTAATGCAGAATGATTCAAGCACTTCCCTTCTTTTTCAGATATCAAAGCTAGTTTTGTTACCATGTATGAGGGGGGAATGGGGGGGGGGTACATTCCCACTTTCCCAGCAAAAAACACCCCACATCCCAGTTCCCAGTAAAATAAAATCCTAATTCCCAGTTCCCAGGAAATTATGTAGACATGTTTCAGGAAATTCAATAGTTTAGGTTTTCAAACACAACATAGATACTAATATTTACATACTATTATTTATCTGGGGTCTACATAAATCGAATTAGCGCAGAATAAATAATAATTAAAAAAAACTAAATAAAAATATTAGCGCAAAAATTTAAATCTCGACGAATTGACACAATTGTCCCAGATCCCAGACAATTTTAGAAGGTCTTTCCCACGTCACGATGGACTTCTGTTCCCAAATCACGGAAAATTTATCTGACATTTCCCAGTTCCCAGGTAAATAAAATGGCCAATCCCGCGTCCCGAAAATACCCGTTCCCCCCTCATGTATAATTTTGATCTCCTTCAAGTCCTAGCTGTCAATGAATCTGAAGAAAAAGAAAACAAATAAAGAATATAGCCAAATTCCATCAAATTTTTTTTGTATTTTTTAGCGCAAAATTTCAAAGAGCACTTTGAAATCTAGACCGTATTTTCCAATACGGCAAATACGGTCTGAATCCGCCCCTGTCGCCCCAATACATACATGTTTGCTGGGTCTCTCTCGCTCTCTCTCTCTCTCTCTCTCTCTCTCTCTCTCACTCACACACACACACACACACACACACACACACACACACACACACACACACACACACACTGCAATCAGCAGAGCGTCCCGTTGCGCAATCATGCGTGTACGTGTGGCAAGATCACTGTGTGTGATGGATGTCTGGACGCGTAGCCTAGCGGCTCCTCATCCGGAACCGGGCGCGCAGCCACGGCCTTTATTTATAGCATTAATCAGAAAATAGCCTACATTACTGTTTTACCTGAAGGATATCATGCCATTATTTTTCGACATTTTACAAATTTGAAATCGAGAATGCAAGCGTGAAACATGACATTGATTTTCAAACAAAATTTGTGAGGGCTAGTAAATTATCAGATTATGGTGAGGGCTAGTAAAAAATTGCTGTTACCAGCCCTCTGGGCCGGTGCCAAAAAATCTTAATTTTGTGCCCTGAGTACGTATATGCGAAAACACATTTGCTGGGACCTAAACTATCTTTGATCCAACCTTACATGTCCCAGCTGCTTCGTCATGGCTGCCTCTGCTGGCGCAACGGCGTTGAGAGCAGCCGGGCTCGTAATTTTTCGTCGGCACGGCGATAAAAAAATCACTGAATACCTTCTGATGCAAACATCGTACGGCAACCATCATTGGACGCCGCCGAAGGGTCATGTGGACCCGGGCGAATCCGACATGGAAACTGCGCTCCGGGAGACGAAAGAGGAGTCCGGACTCCAGCGGAACAGTTTTCATGTGGTCGACGAGTTCCGACGGGAGCTGTGTTACGACGTGTTCAGCGTTCCGAAGACGGTCGTTTACTGGCTGGCCGAGTTGATCGAGCCAGAGCCACTGACGCCCATCAAACTGTCGGCCGAACATCAGGCTTATGACTGGTTGCAGGTATAGTCTCAATACCAACAAGGGTAGATCCAACAAACACAACGACTGTAACAAGAATAAATGTACCACTAACCTTGCCCGACCAGGCTCTAGGACTGTTCCACGTCGTAGGAAACTTCTTGCCACATATAGTGAGAAGCGAGAAGGTAACTTGTAGCTAAACCTAATCCTAACCTTCTTGCTTGTCATTACATATGTGATTTCTCTAACGGCGTGAAATGGTCGTATAGACTGGTCAAGTGCAGGTGCAGTTGTAGCTCTAGACCAATAAATGCGCCCTAGAAACCTAAAGCAGGGGGCACACGAGCGATAGTTTTCGCCGATCGCCGCGATCACAAATCGTCGGTGGAATTTTACGCCCAATCACGAACGGGCACACTGCAATATAACTCGAGACCGTACGCCAACGCATCCTACAAATCCATCGATCATGTGGCCTGTAGAATATGGCGCCATCCAGCAAGCGAAAGTTTGCTGTGGTCGCTGCAATTTATTTGTTATTAAAATGGCGTTCAAGATAAAGAAATCGCTGGTTGAATCGAAAATCATGGTCCAAAAGCTGGATTAATGCACTGGGAAAGCCTCCTTATCTTTCGTTCATGCTTCAGTCATGGTTGCAGCCATTTTTCTATCACGTGACATTGCAAACTCTGATTGGTTTCTAAAAATGGGTTCGCTCGATTGTGTTTGCCACAGTGGCCACACGAGCGATTTTCTGGTCACACTAGTGATTTTCTCAGTGATCTGATTGCCGGAGAAATAAAATCGAGCGAAAATATCAAACATGTTTGATACTTGCGATTGATCGTGCGACTGGATTCGCCGTACTCAGTCCCCGTTGCTGTAGCGGGCACGAGAGCGAATTTTTGAAGCGATTTCCAAATCGCTCGCGATCGGGCGAAAAATATTCGCTCGTGTGCCCCCAAAGTAATCAGACGCTATTCTAGGACTGTCGCCTAGAAGTTATTTGAGCTTGTTGCGTACAGGGGCAATTTCTCAGTTTCTGTTGTGTGTGCGGTCTATACGTAGGTAATGATTACTCATGTCTTTTCTCTTTCTGGCAGCTAGAGGATGCGTGCAGCAGAGCGGGTTACGAAGAGATGCAGTCCTTACTGCGAGAAGCAGATGCCTTCATCAACTTACGTCTGTAGAATCGCGGAGGCAGTGGCGGATCGTCGACATGAATTTGTAGAGTCATCTCTGCATCTGCCTACGCTCCCCCAGCAAAGCCGCTACAAGAAACAAAGAAGAAATCGTTAGAACAAAGGTCTGCGTCGAAATCGCACGCTGATCCCAATCGAGCAGTCGGCAAAATGGCGCAGCACGTCGTGTGGACGTGTCGAAATGGATTTACAGATGCTCTTGTGTTCATGCTGGCGGCGAAGGTTGTGACATCACCGTCGACCGAGGAGTGAAATCGTCGTTTGTCATACGGGCTAGCCTCTAAATGTTGAAGAGAGTTGAAAGTTGTGTAGGATCGTTGCCCTTACGTGGTGCAGCCCTTATATGGAGCAGCCCTTACGTGGAGTTAGGCTGGGAATGTTGGGAACATGTGCGGCTATTGTGAGAGATGAGAAGGGATCCTGAATATAAGTGTCATGGTGGATTTGATCAACTGCATTTATAGCTCATATCATTGCATATCATAGTTTTGCATCGACGTACGTGTGCATACATGCACATTTTCCTAACTTGTATTTAGAATTATAATGCTATAACACTTGCTCTGTTGTGTACGTCTGGCTTTAACAATATGCCTATAACGTATCTAAACCTAACGTATCTAAATCTAACTAAAAGGAGTTGGCGTCAGGAAGGGCATCCGGCTGTAAAACTTTTGCTCCAAAACCATTCCGTGAAGGAATAAAACTGTCTAACCCCGAAAGGGAAAACGGACATTAAACTGATTATATATTATCATGTATAATATATAATACTTGTCTAGTAAATAAACATTAACGATTAATATGAAATTCTGATGTTTTTTGACTTTGTGATTTAATTCTCTGAAGCAGCGGTAATAGCAATTAAGCACACAGCATACGTCTGGGTGAATATCTTTCTCTCTTACAGTCCTAATTTACATTGGTAATCTTATTGGTTTACAGCAGTGGTAGGCAAACTTTTCAAAGCGAAGGCCGCATCAGTGGGCCATGAAAAGTTAAAGGGCCGCACTTTTTAAAATCGGGCGGTGC